TGGGTGGTTACCTGTCTCCCCACTTCACTGTTGTGTAGACGCATCAGTTTATTGGCTTGGGATCCTGTTTTTTTCACCTTCATAGGAGCATCGGAAAACTTGGCCCCCATGAGGAGCCCGTAGCTGAGGTTGTCCGCACATCCTCCCCAGCGGTTCCCGGGCCCGGGTGGCTCACCTGGGACAGGGCCGCAGGAGCAGCCAGGCAGGTCGCCGGAGGTGCAGGCCCGGGCGATGGCGTGGCTGATGGCGGCTGCTGACAGCGCGTACACGAAGGCGGACTCCCGGGTCCCTGTGGGAAGGTGCAGGTCAGCCACGTGGGGTGACCCGAGGATAGCACCCCTAGCCCAGGCCTGAGGGCCTCCTCCTGGGCCCCTACCTGCTTCTGTGAGGTCAGCTGGGGACAGGGGCTGCAAGCAGGGTAGAGCAGGTGGAGGACAGAGCTTGGGCCATTAATCTCTCACTCCCACATTCTCCCACAAATACGCTAGCTGACTTGCACACTCAGGCACACACTCACACAGGCCAGCAGAGCCCCACATGCACACAGGCACACCCTCAGCCCTACACACTCATGCTCCTGTGCTTGTCCCTGCCCACCCTGCACCCAGTGTTAGGGGCTGCGTTAGAGAAATGAAGGCTCTGTCCCTGAGCTCTGCAAAGTGCTCATGACCTGAGGGGCAAGATGAGTGTGCGAAGAGCCTGCTGTGTGTTCAAATGTGTCCCCCAAAAGATCTGCTCAAGTCTTGACTCTTCATACCTGTGAATGTGACCTTATTTAGAAATAGGGTCTTTGCAGGTATAACTGAGTTAAGATGAAGTCATACTGGATCAAGGTGGACCCTAATCCAATGACTGGTGTCCTTAGAGGAAGAGAGAATTTCGGAATCAGAGACACAGAGAGGGAGCTACAGAGGCAGAGATTAGAGTGATGCTGCTACAAGCCAAGAAACAATAAGGACCACCGGCTACCGCCTGAAGCTAACAAGAGGCTGGGAAGATCCTCCCCTGGCACCTTCAGAGCGAGCACAGCCCTGCCTACACCTTGATCTCAGACTTCCAGCCTCCAGGACTGTGAGACCACACATATCTGCTGTTTGAACCACCCCTCAGCCCCTAGTTTGTGGAACTTTGTTACTGCAACCCAAGCAAATGGAGCCCAATGTCCCTCGGTTGTGTGGTGCCTTGGCCTTGGGTCCGAGCTCTGACCGCATCTCTTTACAAGAAAATTACTTTCCCTTCTCAAGCCTCAGTTTCCTTAACTGTGGAATGGGGGTGAGAATATCTGCCTCACAGGCTAGCTCTAGAGTTCAGCTAATTTGGGAAGAAAGGAAGCTTTGTCAAGTGCTGCACAAACATTAGCCCTTACCGTGCAAAGCATATAGAGTAGATCCATTTGGGCATTTCTGCCCATACAAAGCCTCTCTATTGTACACACAATCCCAGAAGCCACCCCAGAAGCCACCTCCTCCAGGAAGTCTTCTCCACAGATGTTCTTTAGTCTGTACATCACTGTGCATCTTGCGGCAGCTTCAATCGGCATGGTCTAGAATTATCTGTGAACACCGGTCTGCCCCAAGGGTGGGTTCCATCATATTCTTGTTCCATAGTCTCCCTCACCCCCAAGAGCCTCCCTGGCGTCATTCTTGCCTTCCTTCATGCATTAGCATATGCGTGCATTTGTGCTGTCATTCAGGCCCCCTGCACTGGCATATTCACTCGCCATGTGTTCATTCATGCATCGTTCATGCCTAAATACCCAGATCTATGATTAATTCACCCATCCATCCATCCTCGCCTCTAACCTTCTGTGTATCCATCTATCACCCATCTATTCACTCCTTCGCCCATCACATATCCATCCATCCATCCACCCATGAATTCACCCACCTATCTAAACACATATGTTAATGCCTGAATTCACCCATCCCCACCTGCATGCATTCCGCAGGCCTCAGCAGCCTCTGCTGGCTCCCTACCTCTCTCCAGGTCAAGCAGGTAGTTGGGGGCCAGCTCAATGGAAGAGCAGTTCCAGCGCATGTCCGAGAAGGCCCTGCGGCAGGCCTTCATGACCTCGCGGGCGGCGTGCACCACGGTGTGCATGAGCTCCAGGTTGCTGCGGCACAGCTGCACCTGCGCAGACACCAGGCCCTCCAGCTGCTTGCAGTGCTGCGTCTGGTTCAGAGCCAGGGCTGCCGGCGTCTTGGACAGGGCCCTGTGCGCGGCCAAAAGGCAGCAGCAATGAGAGGAAAGACAGGGCGTGAAGGGCCGTGTTGCCTCCACCTGTCCTCCTGGCCCCCGCCTCTCCTCAGTGGGCCCCAGAGCCTTTGCTGGAAGGAGCCAGGAAACCAAGAAGCAAAGCACCGTCCCCACCAGAAATATGGCTCCTCCTTCCTCCCTCTGTGACCTTGGGCACATCATTGTCCCTTTCTGGGCCTCAGGCTGTCACTCATAACATAGGATCACGACCTCCATCCTACCTAAGCTTTATTATAATTCCACTAGCAATAAACAATTTTACAGTTTGAAAGGTACTCGCATCCATTGTGTTTATTTAGTTCTCCCACAGCTATGAATTATTCCTCCTTATTTAACATTCCTTCAACGCTGAGCACTCACTATGTGCCAGGCACCATGTTAAGTGCTAGATTTTTATAATCATCATCATAAGAACACACATTATGAATTAAGCATTTACTAGGTGCACAACATGAGTTAGGAGCCTTCCGTCATTGCTTTATTTAATTTTTAAACTCATTTATCAGACTATAAAGTCCCACACACAAGGGATTGCTATTAAAGGATTAAAGAGCCACTCATTCTGTGAGAAAACAGACTTAGCCATTAACTTGCTGTGTGACCTTAGATAAATCACTGTCTCTCTGGGCCTCAGTGTCTGTACCTATACATATATTTCCCAGAATGGATTCCAGTCCAGTGAGACACTCTGAAAAAAGGGACCCACGGTCAAACATATTTAGGAAACATGATATTCTATGTCCCTGAGAAGTGCTGCAGCAAAGCAACAAGCTTGGCTTTGTTTAACTCATCTACTGAGCACAAGGCCCTTTGAAGAGTGCTGACCGCAGCCATGCTTTGGGAAACACTGGCCTAGGGGGTCTCTATGAACCCTGGTGATGCTATAGGACCTAAGAACTTCCAGATCCTGGCCCTAGGCACTAGGATTCCAAGACCTGAGGACCACGGGTCCATCCTGGATCTCCCTTTCTCTCAGGCCTTCTCTGAGGAGCAGACTGCCTCAGGCAACACACTTCCTCTAAGTGAAGGCTAGAGAAACCCATGGCCATAAAGGGATTCATGTAGACTAGCCCCTTGCCCTCAATAACTCAGCACAGATCCTAGGGGGACATCCCCACTCCCAACTCATGAGCAGGGAAATGTGTGCTATACCTGGATGCCAGCGTCCAGCACACAGAGCAGATCTCAGGCACTGTTTCATGATCTCAGCTGAACTATCTGTTCCTACCTGGCCTTTTGAGCCACTGAGGCCCACCAAAGCTGGTACACCTCGGGAACCTGTCGTCTAAATTCCTGCAGCCGTACTGGATGGACCGTGTCCACACAGAGGCAGAGGCCATCCCTCAGCTGTGACCCCTCCACCTCCACCTGGCAGACACTGTCCATACAAGCGGCTCCAGTCTAGAGAGCCTCTGACTTCATGCCTCATCCCATTCTCGCAACACCCAGAGAGGTGAGCCTGGACAAGATTATTACCACTGCTTTGTACAGAGAAGGACACTGAGGACACCCAGTGCCTGTGTGCTTGGCCTCTCCCTGACACCATCCTCTTACAAACCTGGCTGGCCTCCCCTTCTCGGGTCCCTTTTCTGCTGGGCTGGGGGCCCTCCATACTCAGCTGTCCTGAGCCCCTCTGCCCTTCACCTTGCCCAGCTTTCTTCTTTCCCTTCTGAGTCAGTTTTCTGTTTCACAACGGGTAGATTTACATGAGATACACCAGAAAGCCCCAGTATAGTACTGAGCATGCAATGGACACTCAAGCCATGTGGGCTGCCTCCCTCCCAGGTCTTATCCCTGTGCTCCTGCTCAGGCCAAGAAGTGGGGTAAAATGAGCCCAGCCTTTCCTGGGAGCTCAGTTCAGGCAGTTCCTGAATGCCCAGCGCTGTGGCTCCCAAGGAGGTGCGCTCCATGCTCCTGCTGCCTGGGGACGCGGGGCCACTCTGGATCTCAGCCTGCTCATCTCTAAAGTCATCAAGCATCCACTTCCCCAGCCAATGGTGAGAGAAGGTGCTATGAGGGACACTACAGTGAGGACGTCCCCATACAAGGCTCAGGTTGCCCAGGTGGGTGGTGGACAAATAGGAAATGGTCTGGAGGCTACTGGTGGGCACAGGATGGGGGCTGGGAGCTGCTGGAGAGAGTGCCTGTGAGGTGTGGAGGGGGAGGATCGCCCACAGGAGTGTGCAGGCTGGGAGATCGGGAGGCGGGAGGCAGTGGATTCCACTCCCAAGGAGGGAGATTCGGTCATCTGGTAATTAGTGGTAATGACCGTATCTAACTAAGTCCCCCTTGGGGAGGTAATCAAGGATTAGGGCGGAGGCGGGGGAGTTACCCGTTTGGACATCTCCACCGCTTGCCTCACTGCAGCAGACCCTTAATTGAAAACATTTTGGTTTGTCTGGGGGTGGGGGCATGGGGGAGAGGGTGGAAGAGAGGACAGGAGGGAACAGAGAGTTCACAGGCAAGGCCTGTGCCAAGGGTGCTGCTGGGGTGGCCCAGGTCTTTTCATTTGGGAGTTGGGGTTCTCCTGAGAATGTCTGGGGGGCAGAGACCTGGGTTTTAGTTCCAGCTCAGCTGCTCACCCATTATGTCCCCACCCATTGTGTAAGTGGGGACACTGAGGCCCAGAGAAGGGCATGGCTTGCCCAGATGGGTACATGGCCAATCAGAGGCAGAGCCGAGCTATAATCTAGGCCTCCCAGATTCCAGGTTAGGGCTCTTTCACTCCCATTTTGAAAATGAAACTGAGGCTCAGAGAGGCTAAAGTGACTTACTCGCCTGAGGCCTGGCTCGTGCTAGGGAACTTGCAGAGCTCAGGCTAGGACCCAGGTCTCCCAACTCCAGTCTGGGGCTCCTTCTACCTACTCTGCAGCAGCTCCGTGCCTTCTGGAGACCCCTGGGACTCTTCCTTGAGAGGCCTGAGCTCTGAGTGAGCAGCAGGCTTGAGGCTGCTCAGGGAAGGTGGAGTGGCCTTTATGGGTCCTCCCAGCTACCCTGGACCTTTTCCCTCACTGACAGCCTCAGAGGTTCACAGGAGGCTGGAACCACTCTCCCCTGCCCCCCACCCCCACCCCACCCAGGGCAGCAAGAAAAGGTCCTCACACATTGTTGGTCTGAGAATCTCCCAGCACCTGACTTGGGTGAGAGGTGAGGTAGTAGAGGGGTCCCCCAAGTTATTTCTGGTCAGCTGCTTCCATAAGCTGCCAGGCTCTGTCCCCCTTTCCCTTACCTTTCATCCCACCAGGAAACTCAGGCTGAGTCCCAGGTGCCCAACAGGTGGGCATTCCAGGTCACTCAGTCACATCTGGTTTCAGTTCCTGTGTCAAATGGCCCTTTTATCTTTAGCACACTTTCCCAAATCCAGGGTAGCAGGTCCCCTAGGGCAACCCCAGGTGAGCTGAGCCTTCCTGGATGAGTCCCCATTCTCCCACTTGCACTGTACACATCCCTGTTCCCAACTGTCCTGTGGCTGCCTGCGACCAACAAGCCACAGAGCCAGAAACCCTAACTTCAAATCATGCCTCTGCTGCCTATTAGCTATGGCAGCCTGTTAGAGACTCTCCGTGCCTCCATTTCCTCTTGTTTAATGGGGGTGATAGCACAGCCCATCTCAAACGGTGGTTGGGAAATTTAAATGAAACAGTTACATGAAGCACTTAGAACTGTGCCGGGCTTATAGCAAGGCCATATACAGTTGACCCTTGAACAACTTTGGGGTTAGGGGTACCAACCACAGTCAAAAATCTGCTTATAACTTTTGACTCCCCAAAAACTTAACTTGTCCCTCAGTATCCATGGGGAATTGATTCCAGGACCCCTGTGGATAGCAAAATCCAGAGATGCTCAAATCTCCTACATAAAATGGCACAGATCAATGCATATAGTTGGCATCCATGGATTCCCAGCTGCGGATGGAAAACAGAACAGGTATTTATTGTACAGGTATTTATTGAAAAAAATCCATGTGTAAGTGGATCTATGCATTTCAAACCCGTGTTGTTCAAGGGTAAACTGTACTTACACACACACACACATACACACAATTGTTATTCCTAAACTCCACTCCTTCTCCTGCTTCCCCCTCTATCTTTAGCTCCAGCAAGAATTTAACTGCTGGAGGTTTGGCTTCATGGAGCCTGTCTGCTTGGGTTCCAATTCCACAGCCACTATTAACTAGCTGTGTGACCTTGGGTCAGTTACTTAACCTCTCTGTACCTTTGCTTCCTCATTTGTAAAGCGGTAGTGATAAGAATATCACCAAGCTCGTGGCTAAAGCTCTTGGAACAGTGTCTGGGATTTACTAGTAGGCTCCTTTAATTCCTGGTTTCCCTGTTTCTGCACGTACACGGCCCTGCCTCTATGCTTTTGTCTTGGTTGTTTCCCCTGCCTAGGGTGCTTGCTTTGCATTCCATCCTTGGCCGTAAAATCCTATCTATCCTTCAAAGCCCAGACCAAAGTCACCTATCCTAGGTGGGACTAACTGCACCTCCTCTGGGCTCCCACACTCCCCTCTCTGAGGACACAGCCCTAAGTCTACTTGGTGTTGTTTTTCTTACATGTCCACCTCCTCCAAGAGGTTAGGAGGTCCTTTAAGGCAGACACTGGGTTGTATCCATTTTTGTGGCAGCCGGAACTATGCAGTGGGGACAGCATGGATGTTGGGCTTAGCTAGCTACCTGTTCCAGGCCCTCCCCAGCCACATGTCAGCTTAGGGGCTGTGCAAGTCACACACTTCTCAGAGTCCTGGCTGTCCCACTGTAGCATGGGAATGATAGCAGTGTCCCTCACAACACTATAGAAGCAAGCTCAGCTCAGCCTGCACTGCTTTGCTCTTTAGCAAATCCTTTCCCTCTCTGGACCTCAGTTTATGTCTCTGTAAAATGGTGGTGGTGAGTGAGGAGGGCTTGGACTCCCTGATCAGAGGTTCCCACCAGCTAGGACGCTGCCAGGTACTGGCAGTAGAAGGAAAACTAATCAGGAGCAGCTGGGAGGCCGCTGAACCCAGGCTGCTTCTTGCAAACAAAAAATGCAGGAAGATGGGGTTCCCCTCTTGAATCACCAATTCATTGACAACTCAGCCCCAAAAGGGGCAATTGACCTCAAGGCTATTTGCTGGTGGCCTGGCCACTGTAGCCTTGTCTCCCAGCTAATCCATGAACCTTCTTCACAGCCCCTCCCTAGCCACCATAGTCTGTCCCCTGCCTGTCTTATCTGCTCATGACTCCCCACCCCCTACCCCAAACTCCAGACTGTGTCCTGTCCTGGACTTGCCCACCACTCAGGGAGTCCTCCACTCGAAGTGCCAGCCTTCCCCTGTCCCCATCTGCCACACTCGCAGAGCCTCCTCAGGCTCAGCCTAGGGGCACTGCCCCTGAAAAATCTCTCCAGGGTTTCAAGTGTGTGTTTCCCACCAGGTGGCCTCCCCCACTCTGGGCCCCCACAGCGCCACCCAGCTCTCTCCAAGGCCCTTGGAGTTATTTACAGCCTGGGCTTATCTTTTCCAGTCCTGAGCGCAGCTCCTCCAGGAAGGGGCTGGGCTTGACTCCTCTCTCCACCCCTGCAGGGCCCACAGTGCTGCACAGAGCAGGCACTCCCTTCTGCTGGATGGAAGGGCACCTTTTTCTCCCACCTACCCCTCCATTAATCATTCCTAGCTAAAGGAATACCCTTCACATGTGCACAGCATCTGACAGTTTATGAGGTTCTTTCAAGAGCCGCTTCTCATCTGATCTGAGTGAGGTACAGATGCTTACTCTCCGTTGACAGAGGACATTGAGGCTCCCACAGGCTTCCCCAATGTCACTCAGCTGGAGAGGTCAGGACTGTTCCAGGACCTCCAACCAGGGTAAGGAGACTGACAAGGAAACGACACTGAGAAGGCCTCACGTGCAGGGCACGGGCCCTCTTGACTGCCCCTTGTCCCCGCTATCTTTTTTCATGTGCCCCCAGGGAGGTCGTGCGCAAACCCCAGCTGCCCAGGACAGGGTAATTCCCTCTCCCTCCACTCCCTGTCTCGCTCCTGCTTCATAACCTTTCCGGAGGTAAGGACACTATTTTGCAGAGAAGGGAAAGGAAGCTCAAGAAGAGCGGCTTGCCCACGGCTCTCAAGCCAACTTCTCCCAGGTCTGGGGCGCGCTTGCCCCATTCATGGGGCCCCTTACCGCTCCCCACCGCCCCCAACCGCTTAGCCCGGAGCCCGTCCGCGTGGACGTGGGGTCCCTACTTACAGCCACTTGATGCCATAGCACACGCCGGTCTGGAGCGCCAGGGCGAAGAGCAGCGCCTCGCAAACCTGCGGCCGCGCCCTCATGG